CAACTGTTGCAAATTCAACTAGGGTAACTTTAAACTCGTGCACCTCAATTGATAATATATATATTGTAATTCAGAACACAACCTCACAGCAAAAGTACTAGAAACAGGTTTTTCTGATCACCTTGCTATCAAGCTGCAATTTCCTTTAGAAAATGAAAATGACAGTGCATTCAACTTAAAGTATGCTAGAAGAAATTTTGGGTTTAGGGAACGGGCTAAGTTCCGCAATCAGATAAAGGAAGTATCATGGGATTTCATATATGATAATCACTCATGCATAAATGAAAGATTCGATCACATCACGAGTCTGATAGCAAACTTATTTTTTTCACTACTAGCGTCTGATGACATGATTATTAACCTTTTTTCCACTTGTAAAGTAGGCTTTCTCGGCATTTGTTCAAAGTGGTTAATAATTTTTTATTATTAACTAGTAGTCAATAATGAGAACTGTCACGCTGTCACTTTTAGAAAACACAACCCGAAATTTCGCTCAATGAACGTTTAGACAAGTTCTCTAAAACGAATAATTGCCACCATTCGCAATTTCCAGAGAAATTACATACCTAAAATTATCACATTTTGAAAAAATTCGAACGAAATTACTCTTTGAAAAATCTCAATGACAGAACAAAATACGGCCTATTTGACTTGTACTTCCACGTACTTGATTGACATGTTAAATTAATAAACAAAAATTCTGTCCAACCGTTAACTCTCTTATCAATATAATATGTTAATTTAGAGGATTTCAAGTGCTAGTAGTGAAAAAAATAGTATATATACCACGGTAGAGAAGTCTCTTATTGCCTTCGCACCTTACACCCCTCGGCGCAAGCGCCTCGAGATGTAATCTTGGTGCTCAGGCAATAATACTGGACTTCTCTACCTTGATATATAATGTACTATTATACTACTTTTCCTCTCAAAAATAAACCTCTATCTAATAAGACGAAGGGTTGGGTTAATAACGAAGTCCGACAGAGCACCGCCCATTTACGTAATCTACACTGGCTGAAAAAGAATTTTAATCATAATTCCTACAATGACTTTTATAAAAACGCCAAAAAGGCCCACATTAAGCTCGTTGAGAGTGAAAAAAGAAGATTCTACGACATGCAGCTATCTAACTCAAATAACATCTCCACAGCGGCATGGAAAAAAATTAGCAGGGAATATAAAGGAAAACAGGGAGAGAGAGAGAGAGAGAGAGAGCATTTATTTCAACCACGAATGTGGTGTAACTGTCACACAATAACAACATAAATAAAAAACACAATAAAGTACAATAAATAATATAAATATATCTATAAAAAAGAAATGTAAATAGGTATATATATTAAAATTTATTTATATTTTTTTTTTTTTTTTTAAATATGACTAGCATTTTTGATATTCGTAACCAATTCGGGACCAAAGCATTAAAATTAAGCACAATGGTAAAATTGTGCATGATCCTCAAGTCTCCTGTGAGTTATTCAAGGACTACTTCATAAACAGTATTAATGACATTATACTTTCCATGAACAACAATAGCCAGTAGGATCTGTATGAGGAAGAATTAATTAAGATAATTTGCAGTAAATCCCCAGGAATAGATGATTTACCAGCCTTCTTAATAAAGGACATAGTTCAAAGTATAACCAAACCTACGGCACTAAAACATGCTAGAGTAGTCCCGGTACACAAAAAAAAAGCAAAGGATGAAATACAAAACTACAGACCAGTTTCCATACTCTCTATATTTTCCAAGGTTTTAGAAAAATGTATACTGGCCCGTTTGTATAAGTATTTTGAAAAAAATAATCTCATAAACCAAACCCAAGATGGATTTAGCGAGGTGGTTCAACTGAACGAGCTATACTTTCCACTATCGACTTCATCTACAAAGCATTAGATGAGCGAGAATATGTTGCCGGGGTATTTTTTGATTTATCTCGTGCGTTTTATATTACAGACAAAGATATATTATGTAAAAAATTACAAAGCTATGGTGTTGAAGGCGTGGCTCTGAAACTCGTACATTCATTTCTAACCGACAGAACTCAAACGGTGGAAATACCGGAACATAACAAGTCCATAAGTAAACTACAAATACAGATCGCAAACTGCAGTTTCTTTAGTAACGTAAAATTTCTCGTTTTAATTGAAAGTACAAAGACGTTTTCGTGCGCCACACAGTCCGTAGCACTCTTGGGGGTTAAGCTTCCTCCTTTTGTTTTTTACGAATCCCCCATATTTCTGAAAATCAATTAATAATAATTTATAAACGGTTTAACCGATGGGTGGTTTACTTTGTGACCGAAATATTTTATTTCTCAAATTTGTTTTTTATGTTTACTCATTTATTGATTTGTAACATAATAACAATAATAATAATATTTATTCAAACCACTTACAATAAATATAATTTTGTTTGTGGCAAGTTAAGAGAGACAAATAAAAGTATAGGACAAACGTAATGACTAATGACATACAATACATACAATATACAGGACTAGTTGACTACATGGAGGCCCAATCCAAGTACTCTATAGTTGAGAAGAATGCATGTGAGATAAGAACTTTTTTTAGGGAAGATTTGAATTGGGATAGTTTCAAGGTTTTAAAGATTGCCGGAAGTTTATTATATAATTGAATGTATTGACAGCTTGCCTATTCAGATCGTCTAAACTCCTATTTGAACACAAGAGTGCAGTGTCGTCCGCATAAAGCACACATTTATTAGGTTGCATTGCATGTAATGAGGGAAATCATAACAATCATAACAACTTAAGGTTGTAAACAATTTATTCTAGAAAGGATGTATAATTAAATTATGGTGTGAGAAACATGTATAAGTTGCTACAATAGTTACAGCGGATATATAGATTTATGTAGTTTTTCAAAGTTGACGTTGATTCAACTTTATGTCGATAGATGAAAAAAGATTATTGGAAAAAATGACATAAACATAATACGAGTAAGACTGTGCTGCTTGGCTGGGATATTGAATAAAAGCTGAGGTACCGTATAAGAATTGCAGGTCTGGAGCTGTACAGATAAGAGCTACGAAATTGGCAATTCACATTTATTATTCTCTATCTTGAAACAAATGCTTATAGGGGCGAGATCATTCTACCAAATTCCATGCCATCAAAACTTGTACTTGAACGAAATTGTTTATAGGAAATGTTGGTTTATTATATACTTTGACCTATCTGGTCACATATGTCTTGAGAGATGGTATCCCGTTTTAGCTGAAAGTGAAGCGATAGAATATAGTTTAGAATTACGTTTTGGCAACTTTTGGGATTGAGCAAACTCCACAATCGCTCATTCCGCAATAAAATGTAATCTCATAATTGAATTGTAAATAAGTGTAACGCCTGATTATTATATTATACAGTGTGATCCATTAAGCGTGTAACAAATGGAATTTAATTTAGTGCTGCAGTAGTAATCTAAATCTAAATAGTGTCAAAGAGATAAATTATTTTGGAGCATCGTCATTAAGATACGGTTTCGCTGGAGCCATCGGCTGTCGTTATTTATTATGGGCGTGGTTTCCTCAGCGCCGTTGACACTCAGCAAGAAAACCATGCTAGCTTGGCGTTTAATGGCGATAAACGGCCGACAGCCCCAGCGAAACCGTACCCTTAAATTGGTACTGAATAGGTACTAATATACCTAATTGCTGTTACGGGTTACCAAATATTCTAGTACGTACTGAGAGGCGCTCTGGGAATTTTAAAAGATTGAAAAGTGTGACGACAGTCTTCTTTGTATCGAGCACTGGCTACACTTCGGACACACCTTCTTTGCAATGCAAATATTCTTTTCATTGCAGTGGAGTGGCCCCAAGCTATGATTCCATAACAAATTAATGAGTGGGCATAAACGCATTTTAAAATGGGTTCGAACAACACGCATTTTTGCAAATTTATTTGCATCTCACTTTGGCAGGCTTGCTGACGGGATGACAGTGAATGCCAGCCCGTAGAACAACGCTTATAAAAAGACGAGGAGTGTACATGTACCTATCGGGGCCGTGTAGTTAACAACTTTAGGGACAGGGCTACAAGATGTGGGGTCGGCAACATCTGGGCGCCATCCCCGAGCGTGTTATACTAACCTGGAGATTTTTCACTTCTTCTGAACTCTCACTTTTCACTTCTTCACTTCTTCTGAAAGCTTAATATTAATTTATTGCCTAGTTTTTTCAGTCTATTTTTATATTTTTATATTGAATCATGCAAATCCCTTTTTATTCAGCTTGGTCTTCTCACTCTGCCGTCTATTTTCGTACTGGAGGTTTTACTGTACATATATAGAAATCAGCCTAAGTTTGTGCACAATGGGGCCTTACACAATTACAACACAAGAAGGCAACGAGACTTCTCTGTGCCGGTATCTAAACTCAAAGTGTCCCAACTGTCACCCAATAGCATTGGCATTAACCTCTTCAACAACCTCCCCGGCACCATAAAAAATATAAAGACTATGTAATCTTGTTCTTTTACTGTCTTGACTAGCCCTTACACCTATGTACTTATTCAAAAGGTAACAATAAAAAAAAATTGAATTGAAAATAAAATTGTAATCGGTGAACTACTATTTTCTCAATGAATTCTTGCAATGTAATTTATTTTGATTAAATTTCCGTTTTTAAAGCGTGTACTCGTTCTACTTGTGTACCTTATTTGGTCCTCACTTCGCCACATCTTCTGCGACTGTTAAAAACACAACGTAGTAAGTGGCCCTAGTAACGGGCGGGCGATCAAAAATGAGTGGCGGTCGAATCGCTTTTGGAAGTTCAAGTTAGACGATCACGTACGCTGGTTTGGATACGTTACAAACTGTAACAACAAACTTAGTGTACAGGATACAAAAGTAAATAGGCATTTGACTAAATTTAGGATTCATTTGCAAACTCAAAAACCATTTCTTTATCTTGAATCAAGCCAATTTCCATCATAATGACTTCAGCAATCGTACAACCAATTACAAAATAGGGTATATTTATGTTAAAAAGTCTTTACAATTATATTTACAACACTAATAAGTTTCCTAAATAATAAATTAGTAGTTAAATTAGATAATTATATAACGTAAAAAAGGTCGTTAATGGTCCATATTGAAATACATCTTAGAAATTACAAGATATGCTATTCATATACGTACGTACATAGTACACATATTTTACACTTGGGGTCGATCTTTCACGTTCAGGTAGATTTAACGGTAAAAATCGACCTTTACTAGTTAGTATTAGGAAAACCGTGGTAAGTACATAGGGATTTGTGACAAATGTATTTGTGCTGCTGAAATCAATAAAGATATCTGGGTGTATGTAGAGTTTAAACAACCCATGCAACTTTACTTGCACGCTCGTTTGATGAGGTTGTTGTTGGAATGGAAAATCCACCAACTCCACCAATAACACTAACTCCCGCCCCGGTGGTATGAGAGTCAGCGTTACTTATAGATCAGTCGGGATCATACTTGCAGTCAATTCGAGCTAATAGACTGACAGATAGCAATGTAACTATCGATAATGAGAGCTCGACAATAGCTAAAATAGTTATATCCATTGCATTTTCTTGCACGAAATTATCAAACACTTCGTAATTATGTGTACCAGTAATGGTCCTCACTGACTGAACCACAAGGGCGGTGACAAATAAGCAAGCTGAACCCCATAGTACTATAACAAGTACTGCGATGCGTATGGATGGTCCAAGAAATCGAAATAAGGAATTTGGATGGCAGGTCGACGGCTTGTAGCCCCCAAACCCTCTCGTAGTATGGATGCTAGCAGCTGAAAAAGATAAATTATGCATTAGTTGTTTGATCATTGACCGTACAGTGCTGCGCGACGTAGCAAAACTTTCGTTAAGACATATTATTTTGATAATCAAAAATTAAAGATATCATTCCGATAGAAAAATTTCGAAAAAGTCTGCGTTTTGTCCGTCCGTCTGTCCGTCTGCCGTTTCGAACTACTTCTAGGGGAATGGTCCTAGAGTCCTGGAATTTTTTGCAGTAGGTAACCTATACCTTGAAGGTGTGCCAGAGGGCCATCAAATTTCGCTGTCTAAAAGGGGGACCCCCCACGAATTATTTCCTGAGATGCTGTTTTTGAAAGTAAAACGCACGCGTACGCATGCCTTTAGTGGTAGTGGTAGAACAGGGAGGGGGGGGGGTTAAACATGTTCTACCCTTCATGGTACTCTAATGAAAGGTTTCAACGAAATAATTTCTATCAACCATAGCCCTCCTCCTCGACCTCTTATCGTGATCGGTCCCTTATACCTCAACAACGGATTGTCGGAAGAGCACAAAGGGCGATTGAGACGTCTGCAAGAAATATATCCATTGGCGATGTCAAAACAAAAGCTATTTCGGTTAAATTCGGTTTATCTGCACAGGAGTTGTGCACAATGTATACTTGTTTTCTATACCTTGTATAGAATGGCACGATTTTCACCTGCCTTCGCGAGGCTAAAATTCCAGCTAATCACAAACCAATTCGAGGAAAAAAATGAAAAACCATATCGCCAATATTAAGCCAATCACAAATCACATTGTATAACAAATTCCTTAAGAAAATTGGTAACAAGGCACCTTAACACGTTTAGAATAAGACCAACCGAAAAACAATCATGAAATTTGGAGTAATATAACCTCACTTTCGACGAAATGACTTGAACTTTGAATGAAGATTGTGGAAAATGTAAGGCTTCTTCCCCAAATTTTTTAACTGAATACGCGTTTAAGGTGCCCTGCCCTTATCCATTTTTATCAATATTTTGATCGTACTTGAGGAGGATCTGCTCGCAGACAACAGAAAACGCAACATTTTTACTGCAAAAATGATCATTAAAGAGTCTACTAATGCGATATTTGATGTTAAAAGCACATTGGCATTGTCTTCTTCACTTGCTTCTTTCCTAAAATTATAAACGTGTACAGGTTCGCACGTGAGAAGCATGGAGAATCGTAGTCTGGGTTGGTTCAACTCGAGTACTATCCTATGAGAATTAAATTTAGATTTCCACTTTGCACAGCCAAAGGATAAGGTTAAAAATAAAAAAGTGATAACCAAATCGCATTTTAGTAATTCCTAATAAAAAGGTCGCGCCATTTGCGATATTGCAGTATACATCACGCCATGCTCATAACGTTCAACATTTAGCGCTTAAAGAAAATTCAATTTAATGGAAATCTGAATTGGATAACATAATTAATCCTAAATTGGATCTGGATATTAAATTTCTTTCTACAAACAGCGCCGATTTGATAAAACTTTTAGTACAGAGCTAAGCTGAAGTATTTACTCGTTACGATGCTCTTTAATTACTTTACGTATTTGCTTTTGTTTCCTAAGAAACTCTACAATGCGAAAGTGAGTCTCTTTGTATCGTGTCCTCGTTTGTTGTGTAATTTGCTACATTTCCGCCATTTAATGTCCCTTATATTGCAAACAGAAGAATTTTTTTATACACTAGTAATGCGTGGTATTGGAGAAACGGCACGTTTTCAATAAATTTTAAACTTTTTGTTGTCCTCAAGAGAACTTTTTTTGTTTTTTTTTACCCGCACGACCAGCGATTTTGTGTTGGTTAAGTATAAAAACTGGTAGTGATATTGGAATATGGAATTCATTTCTGAGACATTAATTTGGTTTTGATCAGTATCCTTTCAGATAAGAGACAGCGTAGCAATGGCGTTCACACCCTTTCTAAACTAAACGATACTGTCAAAATTAGTGGTGATAGATAGGGCTTAGTATAAATAAAACTTACATCGTAAATGGATGCTGTAACAGAAAATTGCTTTTTTTTGGAATGCAAATTGAAAGTAAAAAAAACAAACTTGAGGTTAGTTGCCTTTGTATACAGTTGCATAGATAATACAAAAAGAGTAGTAAGAACTACGCTTGTATCGCCCAAAATTTGATCCACTACACGTTCATCACTTTATAAACTTCTATTTTCCGTAACCCGCAATTTTCATCATTCAACACGCGCAATAAAGAACAAAATTATCGCCCCTTTAACAAGGCTTAAGTAAATAATAACTATAATATATTCAAAGCATAAAAAATAAAACGGATAAGCTTTTGCTGTTCCCTCATGATTTTTGTAATTTTGATATAATATTATGTGTACTACTTACTTTTCACCAATGCGCAACAGCCATGGCGGAACTGTATTTTCTTGTTTAACACCAAATATCGCATTAGTGGACCTTTAATCATCATTTTCGTAGTAAAAATTGTTATCACTGCGCACGGTCCGTATACTAAACGGTTGTCTCAGTCACTGCAGTTTGTAGGCGCGGAGAGAGAGGGAACTTCCCGCTTGTGACGTACTCTCGCCCGCCGTAGAATTTTATGACGTTCCTGTATGCTTGACGTTTGTACCACGGTCATCGTACAAAGGTGTAATGCGTTTCCCACCCTCATATGCTACATTTCTTATTAATGTGTTGTGTTAAATTTCTTTCAAGGGATTGAATTATTGGTTACCTATCAATATAAATTAAACTGGGGACCGTACCGTGCGTGCCCGCGAAACTTGTGCATCATTAAGACTGTTCGTGATCCAAACCATGGCCTAATAAGACAAGTCAGCGCATGACGTCACGCGGTTTCGACCAGTTAGTTAAAGCAAAGAGCATATAATATAACGATACTCTTTGAACTTTGGAGTAAGGACGTATATAAGAATTCGGAAACGAACTAACTTCTGCAGAAAGACGAACAATTAGTAACCAATGAAAAACCTCATGTTTTTAACAGTCTGAATTGATGTTTTGTACATATTTTACATTAAAACCTAATGATTTTCTACTTTGTTTTTGAAATACAGTTTGTTACGTATATTAATGCAGATAAGCTCTAATTATGTGTAAGCACTACCTATAATTATCAAATCTATTTCAGATTGCTGGAAAAATGGGTATTGGTAAACGCTGTAGTATATTTCTTTCTTTTCCAAAAGACACACAAAGAGATCTGAATGGATCAAGAAATGCTACAGGAAAGACAAGTTCAATCCTCCGCGTATTTGTAGTAGCACTTTTTGCCAATGGCACTCCATTGGAAATTAGATACATCTAGGGAAGAAGGAGTTAAGACCCATGACGTAACCACTCCATGAACATCTGAATTTTAAACACCAGGGCTATGTGTTCAAGAAGTAGGGTGTACTTACATGGACAAGTAAGACATTAGAGCTAAAGCGCCAGAATGAACCTCCGGGGCCATACAGAAAGACATGAAAGAAATTTCATCAAAAGCCGTCCAGCCGTTTAGGAGAGTTCAGTCACCCACATCCTTTCAGAAGCATTTTATATATCGACCTCTATGCACGTAATACTAAATTATAAACCTTTCGATTCCATAAATAAAATTTACTGGTTTTATTGGTACCTAAACGTATATCAAGACGATCATACGTATGCACCCCGGCCACTGTGGAAATGTCAAAGAAATAAACTAGTCCTGATTGTTGCTTAAAATATCATTACAATAACAAACACAAATATGCAAAAATTAACTCTTTTTGCTATTAGAATTATTACCAAATGCATATAGTACATGAGAATTGTGTGGTGGGCGGTGCTTACTGAGGGCTGAAGTACGTTACAATTGACAGCGCGTTTTATTGGTTGTTTGGAAGTGAGGCAACCGTTTAGTATACGGACCGTGATCACTGCCCTCCCTTAGAATCACTATTTTTTATTAAGTACTTTACATGCACATTATTAAATCGGCCGTCTGCCGGGTTATATTGGCAGCGTTAGAGTAGGATGCGTGATCAAATTTGGAAAAAATTACACGATTGATGAAGGTCAAGATCCACAATATCACGAAACAAGTGATGAAGAAGATTAGGTGTCTTTTTTTGTATAATAGATGCTCAAAAAATTCATTGTTCTTAAATCCAAAAAAGACTGAATCTGTCCGCTTTCATAATAGGCAAAAGCAAGCGTCACCCATAGAAATATATTACAATAACGAAAACATAGAGTTTATTCCATTCGTCAGATTTCTTGGTATCTATTTTGATGAATGTCTAACATGGGAAAAGCAGTGCCAGGTGGTTATTAAGAAAATGCATTCTACAAACTATTGAGGTCGTTAAGTTCTGTACTGTCCCATAAACAATTAATTATGTTATACCGCGCTCAAGCCGAATCTAGATTAAGATACGGCATATGTTTCTGAGGAGCGTCCGCGCATTGTGCCAATGTATTCATTTCCCAAAAGAAGCTATTTCGTACCATAGCTAACATTTCTCGGGGGACCAGTTGTAGGATCTGTTTTAGAAATTTCAATATTTTAACTCTTCCTTGTATGTTTATTTTTGAAATGTGTTTTTACGTTATTTAGTAATTTGCAATCCTACAAACAAAATATCGAACTACATAACAGGGAAACCAGGAACTGTAATGACCTGCGCATATCCTACTCCAGAGGTAACATAAAATCCAAATCGCCATATACCGGGTGATCGAAAAGTAGTGCGGACAGTTTGAATTTCCCGTAGAACTAAACATTTATAAAGTTGATAACATACCTAAATGTCATTCGTGTAAAAGCAGTGGTGGTTCAATTTAATCACTCATGCATAAATAAACTACCTTCTAAACTTGTTTGACAATTCCTTAAGTAAAAAACATTAAAAACTGAAAGCGTCCAATTTAAATTGTCTGCAGTTCTTTTTGATCACCCGATATACTCGGTAAAAAACTGTTCAATAAATTACCAACAGCATTTAAATATCTAACAACATTAAAAAGCTTTAAACG